GTGCCGTGGGCCAGGCACTGCACCTGCACCGCGTCACCGGCCCGCACCGCCGTGTCCTCTGGGAGAATGGTGGCGTACGGAGGGGCTGTGGGATGAGGGGAGCTGTCAGCCATGGTGGAAGGGTGCAAGGAGAGTGGTGGTGAGGGGTGTAGGGGGTGATGGAGGTGGGCGTGTGTTGGGGTGGATGAGAGCTGGATGGATCCATGAGGAATGGGTGGAGGGAGGAGTGAGAGGAGATGGAGACATGGAGGGGTGGGATGGCCAGTAGTGATGGATGAATCCACCAGGAAGAAAGGAAAGGATGGATGGATGGATGGATGGATGGATGGATGGATGGATGGATGGATGGAGGGATGGATGGATGGAGGGATGGAAACCATGGATGGAATTCATTGATGGATGGATGGATGGATGATTAGAGAGTCTGAGAGGAGATGGCAACTTGGGTGTGTGCTGGGATGGATGAGATGAATGATACACAAGGAAAAGATGGATGCAGGAGTCAGTAAATGTAGAGTTGGATGTGAGCTGGAAGGATTGAATGATGGATGAATGTACCAGGAAGGCGTGGATGGAGAAATTTGGGGGAGATTGAGAAACGAGTGTATGCTGGGATGGATCACATGGATGGATGCACAAAGAAGAGATGGATAGAAGAGTTTGGAGATGGATGAGAGCTGGGATGGTTGAGTGATGGATGAATCCACAAGGAAGAGGTAGGTATATGGGTGGATGGGTCAGTGACTGGCAGAGTTTGAGAGCAGATGGTGAGCTGGGCATGTGCTGGGATGGATGAGATGGATGATGCACTAGGAGGGGAGGGACTGAAGGGTGTGAGAGGAGATGGAGAGATGGCATGTGCTAAGATGAACGAGAGATGGGTGAATGCACAAGGATGAGATGCATGGATGGGTGTGAGAGGAAACAGAGAGAGGAATGTCAGCTGGAGTGGGTGAGCAACGGATGAGTCCACCAGGAAGGGATGGATGGAGGGTGTGAGAGGAGGTGGAGAGATGGACGTGATCTATGACGGATGAGGGATGGGTGAATTCACGAGGAAAAAATGGATGGAAGAGAAAGGATGTGGGGAGATGGGTGTGTGCTGGGATTGATGAATCCACAAGAAAAAGATAGATGGAAAGGTATGAGCAGAGATAGAGAGATGGACATGAGCTGTGATGGATGAGTGATGGGTGAATCCACAAGGAAGGATGTTAGAGTAAGGAGACAGAGAGGGGTGTGTGCTGGGCTGAATGAGATGGATGGATCCATGAGGAAAAGATGGAAGGAGAGATATGAACAGAGATAGAGAGACTGGTTTGAGCTTGGATGAGCCATGGATGGATCCATGATGAATGGCTAGATGGATGATGAGAGAGCAAAAGTGGAGAGGGACATGCACAGGGATAGGACAGGCAGGTGGACACACCCATGGGAAAGGTTGGTGATGGAGCTTGAGAGGAGCTTGAGAGGAGGAGGATGAGTGCTGCAATGGAGCAGGATGGTCCCACGAGGAAGGGCTGGATGTAAGGGTGGAGGTGGTGATGGAGGTGGCCACATGCAGAGGAAGGACAGGTGATGGCCATAGCGGAGGTGGCAGCAGGAGCCCAGGAGCACCCCAACCCCTCACTGTCCCCTTCTTACTCTCCACATCGAGGGTGAC